ACACTCGTATATCACATGAAATATCATTTCCGTTACTATAGAACACATTCAACTAAGCAGCAATTGACTCAGCAATTGTCTGCTTTTTTTCTCCATACAATTTATCTGACAATTATAATTATAGAAATCATAATGTACTTTACAATTATTTTTATTTTAATAAATTCTGGAAATTGGAGATCAAATTAAAAAATTTTTTAATATTAATTTTCAATTTTATTTGAGCATTAAACTTTTAAAAAAATAATTTAATAACTACCCAAGCTTTATAAATATATTTTAAAATTAAAATAAAACACAAAACTAAAAATTTGTTAAAATTATATATATCCAAGAAACACAAAGATTATTTCATAATAATTTTCTCCCACATAAATACATACATTTTAATTGTATTTTTATTTAGGGCTAAATTTCGCTTCATTTCTTAAAAATTAAAAAAAAAATAATTAAAAAAATTTTTTTTCAATAAATTATTTAAACTGGCTTACGAATAAGCCACAAGGCAGACAATTAGTTTAAGCTTTAAAACAGAAATTGAAAACATTTGGTTACGAGGGTAGTCTACAAATTTATCAATAAAAAATTACTTACCAGTTTTTTATTAACTTTTTAGAAGCTTTTTATTGATTTTCTAATATCTTTGCGTTAAGTTCGAACATTACTCAAACTACCCTCTAGTAACTAGTGCAAACTTCAAAGTACTCGAAGATCAATATAAATGAGTAATAAGTCAAACTGCCCACGCGGCCAATAACAAAGCACATTTAAAGGCATTTTCGCAATCTAATCAATGCGAGCATTTCGCTTGGTTTTGTTTATTACCGACCACAAGGCGAGTTAATTGGAATCAAGCGCAGAAATTCTATCAAATTTTCGATATTATTATTTCTTTTATGTTTACAACTTGGCTTGGTAATTTTATTAGGGCTTTCCGCATTGCAAAAATGCAAAATGTCCTTGAAGGACGTAAGTACAGTGTCAACAAAAATTCATTTGACAAGGCAGACAGAGTAAATTGGCAACAGGGTCGTTGTATACGATGGATATGACAAACGCAGCACACAACTCGATTCCGTTTCCTGTTCCGTTTCCGTTCCCGTTCCTCTTCCCGTACCTATTCCCATTTTTATATCAATTTCAATTTCAGTCTCAGATGACAAGCTACGCCCACTTGAACTAGACATGTCCTCAAGTGTTGAAAAACGTGTGACAATTTGATGTTGTTGGTGATGTGACAACTATTGTTCAAACAAAATTCGACAGAAAGTGTCATTAAGTGAATTACTTATTCAGCAATCAGTTAAATTCGTCATAGGCAATACTCACTGACTAGTTATACAATCGTTCATGAATGATAATTGAAAGTATTCAATGCTTCACGTTTTATTCAGCTATTCAGCTATATGTATTCAGCTGTACACGTGAAATATCTGTCATATTCAGCTAATCAGCTGTTCAAATGAAATATTTTTCATATTCAGCCATTCAGCTATTCATTATGATTGAGTGAAGAACTAGCCGAAAAGAACATAACTGATTGAAAATGAACGAACTTGTAGTTATTCAGCAAATGACTTCTTTTATTTTTCTTACTTTTAAGAGAGCAGAGTTTGAAATTAAGCGTAATTTGAGACAGATTGAAGATTTGATATATACAATAAATTTTTAATGTTGTTTTTCTTGACAAGTTTCATTTACGTTCGCCTTTAAAAGCTGCGAACTTTGCAGTCTTATTTGGGTCTTATTTACTTTTCTATTTGCAAGTTTTGCAATTCAATTACATTGGCCAAATCCGAGACTCAACCGAATGAGACCCTTGAGCAATGGATGCATGGCTGAATGCCTTGGTGCAATTATCAAGTTCGATAGCAAAACAGCAACAGACAACAAAGCCGGAGGCAACGAGGCGGCTACTCGCTATACAAAAAACAAACAAACAAGAAATGTTTATGTTAAAGAAACTTTTACTTTTTAAACAGAAGAAAACTGAGTCGCATTTCGTGGCCCTTTCAAAGGGGAACAACCGTGGTCATTTCGCCTTCTAGTAAAGCTGTCGAGTGGTCGCTGCAATTAGTTGTTTGCGACATTTACAGATTGCAAACTTTCCTCTTGACTGCGTAATGCTTGGGGAAGCCAAAACTTTGTCTTTGTGCCTGATTTAATTTCGCAATTAAAAACTTTTCATAATTGCAAGCGCCAACACTTGCGCTGCTCGTTAACTGTTTGTCACACCAGCAACAACAACAACAACACCAATAACAGCAACAGCCAACAAGGTGCAGTGGCTTCTTTGCCTGGCCAACTTGGACAGTTGACATTTAAACGGCATTGACATTGCCGCTAATTAGCAAACATTTCCGGCTTATTCGCTGCGTTCCAATTTATTTCATGTCCGTCAGGCGTGTAATTAAACTGCCCATTAAATATGACACTTTTTTAGAGTAGTTCAATCTAATGACTAAATGTAACTAGATAACCTATGATATATTTGATGTGTAGATATATGGTTAGGGGGCATATCTTTGTGTTTGATATATAAAAACTAATGTTAGCTCGATTTGGTTTGCGATTTCATTCTCTTAATTACCAAAACTGTTATAAAGCTGCTGCTGCAATAGTATTAGTGAGAGGCTGAGAGCTAGATCTGAGTGAGTTTGGGGTCTCGCTTGCCGCTTGCATCTGCTTATTATGACTCTGCAAGAGAAAGAGAGAGAGAGAGAGAGTGACCAAGATAGCTGTTGCTTAGCGTAGACCCTGCTGGTCGCTGGGTGAGAGCGAGATGGCTACTTAGGCGCGTCGGATACTAAGAAGAAAGGAAACAGACTAGAAATAGGCAGTCTGAAAAGGCACATAGTAAAAGAGGAAGAGCATAGTTATAAATTAGGTATATTATTTAAAAAAAAAAAAACGACTAAGTATAATAGAATTTTAGGTAAACACTTACAAATATAAATTATATATATTTTTTATATTTCATATATAATAAGTATCAAATTTCAAGTGTCATAAGAACAGATAGTTGAGTGTGCGAACAAATAGTTATATAAACTGTGGGAAAGTGAGGCATGATATGCATATATATCCATGCTTGATGGCGTCCACTAAGCTAGACCGTCTGTCTGCCTCTTGTAAACGAGGGCAGCTTGAAAAATGCTAGATAAGAAATGTTATATGTGTATAAATATATATTATATCTAAATTAAATAATTCTTTATTTATTTTTACAACTATTTTCAATGATTTAAACACTACTTAAAGTAATAAGTTGTGTAGCCTTATTTGCTAGCTGCTCTCGCAGCTTAGACACATTTGCAAACTGAAGCCAATAACTTTTTTTGCTGCACTTCGCTTGCATTGGCCATAGGAAAAACTGAAAACTGAAAACTGAAATGTCTGTCAAATGTGCTAAAAGGCAACCCCAATCGGTTCTTATGTCATACAGTATCATTGTTGTTGTTGCTGCTGCTGCTATAGCTGTTGCTATGGAATATATTGTCAATGTGTCAATATGTGAGGTATTTACACGTGCGCAATTACAAGCCATACAAACAACAGCACAAGCCACTTCCGAGTGTGTGGCTATGTGTGTGTGTGTACATTGGTATGCTTGGTGCTTAGCTGCAGAGGGGAAGTGCTTCACAGACAATACTTGCCACATTCTGAGACTTTCGTTGAAAACATCTTTTCATCATTTCTATAATTTTCTATAGCATTTAAATTTTGTATTTAATTTAAGTTAAAGCGTTTATATATATTTATTATTATATACATACATATTAATAATATTTTGTATATTTTAATAACATTTTTTAATCTCTTCAATATTATGAATTTTTTAATTTTATTTTTAATATATAGTATATTTTATATATGTATATATTACATTTTATATATTTCATATTTTATCACTTTTTATTTTTTTTTATGTATTTCGTATAATTTCTTTGAAATTTCTTTTTTATTTATTCTTATTTTTTGTTTGGCAAACTCTGCACTCTTTTTGTAGCCAAGTAAATTAATAACGCCATAATTTGTTTTTGATTGGATAACTATAAATTTAGTTTGTTATTTGCCATAATTATAGGCGAACTGCAAGTTTGATCGATTTGACATTGCTTCTGTTAGCTGTTGGAAATTTAAAGGCCCGCCCAGCCGCTTCTCAAACTATATTTTTGCCATAAATGCAAATTGGTTAAGGCTAAAGTCTCAATGTCAAAGGCGCTTCCTTAATTGATGTACCAGGCAAACACACACAAACGCAGATAGATATACACACACACACATGGCTTGAGGCTAAGCAGACTAAGAGCTAACTCAAAGTTGAAGCGTGAACAATTTCCGTTTTCAGCAGGCATCATGGCAGAAACATAAGCACATTGATGTCAGATACATATGTACGAGGGAAGTTTGATAGTTTGACAATAATTGAATAGCTTCATGAGTTATGCTTTATCTTGTCATTAAATCAGAAACAATATTTTTTGGCTTAGTTAGGCAAAGATATAGTTCTATTAAGCCTAAAAATTTATTCTATAGAGTTGTTCAGGAAAAGTCGGCAATCACTGAAGCATTTATGGTTCCAGAATCTACTGAATATTTGAATGAGTTCATTTTCTTCCATAAATTAAGTTCATAATTCACAGAAGAACGCATAAGCCGATTCATCAAATGGAAGCAGCATTTGTCACTCTTAGATAAAGTAATAACATTTTCTGGGACAACGATTTTCGTCATTTATGTTTTGTTTTCTTTCGCCCCAAAAATTGTTGTTATCCTCGCTTTTGCGTTGTACGTGCAACTTCCATTGAAAATCACGCAATTTCTGCTGAATTGTCCTTGATTTTTACGACTGTTTTGGATTTGTTTTATCTGTTTTGCTTGTTGTTTTGCGTATTTTAGTCATTTGTGGGCCCAATGGCTGTATATAAATAGTTGCTTATTATTAGAGTGGGCTTATATATATATGTTAATGTATGATTTACTTTATTTACTTGCAGATCTACGCACAGCATTCGATCTATTAGATAGAAACCGAGATGGACGCGTCACGGCGAATGAATTGCAGTTCATGCTCAAGAATCTGGGCATTAATGTGCGTGATGAAATTATACATGATCTCATACGTGAGGCAAGCCATTCAGGTAAGTGCCACCACTTGCGACAAGACGGCTTCAACACAAGCAACAGCAACAACAATAACATAAGAAAGTGGGCCATTTCATACAAATGTTGCCACAAAGCCAAACAAGAGTTCGTTGTGTCTAGACGCATATGGGTGTATGTGTGTGTGAGTGTGGCAGGGTGTGCGTGCAAGTGTGTGCGTGTCTTAAGCTATATACACATTTAGCATTTAAAGAATCACGCAGAAATTAAGCCTCGACAAAGACATTAAATATTACGTATACGCAATATTTATGTGAATTTAGCTGAATTTCCTGTATATATATATATACATATATATCTACAAGTTTATCACTTTAATATGTGTGCATATAGTTGCTCTAAACTAAACATTCACAGAGCTCTGCCAACTCGTTAAATATTACGTATACGCAACGAGGAACCCCTTTTCTAGAGTACACGTGTGTTTGAGAGTATATGTGTATGTGTAGGTATGTATGTGCATTTGTCACTACATGTATTCATTCAAAGAAAGTTTTTACAGCAATCGGCATTAAGTGTTACGTATACGCCACGTAGACGCCGCTTTGAATAGTTTCGCTTTTGTCATGCTAACTGCGATTGTTTTCATTTATAGTGGCTTTGTTCAGCAACATCTCAATTCATGCTTTAAGTTACGTCATCTAAATTCTAAATCACAGCTTTGACTTTTAGCAGCAGTTGGTAATCGAATCGTGCATTTTAAAGCCTCGTTCAAATGCCAAAATCCACATTAAGCCAATTTGTAAAGCTTACTATTTTTTGTCTTTTCATTTAATTTACTCGTTAGCTAATGCAATTTTTACATTATATGGGGAATTCCCTTCAGCGCTGTCTGCTCTGCAACATTCCCTGGCAGTAAGCGCATTTTTATTAGTTTCCAGCAACGAGTCGAGTCCTGTTGCTGCTACTGCTGCTGCTCCTGCCGCCTCCTCGTGTTTGGCTGGCATTTGCGTTGTGGTCACGCTCGCATTGTTGATTTAATTTGTGTGCTATTATTTGATCAGGCATTATTGCTCTGCTTCTTTTTCTGCCTTTTCTTCTTTTTGTGCTGACAAACAATGAAAATTAAATTATGCCAGCCAAGCAGAAAATTAAATTTTCAACTCAGTTTTTTTTTAAATTTTATTATGTTTGCATATTTTTGACAATTTTGATTCTTTGCATTTTATACATTTGTTTTTGTTTATAATTATCATTTATTGTTGTTTTATAAATCAATTAATTAACCCTTAAGCTCGGTTAGTTGAAATTCATATTTTATGCCGAGCTTGGGGCGTGGCACTCGCTTGGCTTCTAACAAAAGCTGCGAATTGAAATCAGAGTCACGCACAGTTCGCATTTGCTATAGTACGCACACCCACACACACACACACACATATGCAACATCATGTCGTATAACAAGAACGCCGCAACTGTTGCTGACAGCTTTCGAGCGCTGTTTTGATGGCTGCCACCGACAGCGGCCGCAGAGTTTGCTTTATGTACTTGCCAAGCACATATTTATGTAAGCATTTCTATTTCTCTTCTTTTTATGTGACCTGCAAGCCTCAGGCAGTGACACGTGCGAAAATGTGCAAATAATTTTATGCTATTAAACAAAATATTGTTCAAGAAGCAAAAACTCGTCAAAAAACTATTTTCTCTTCGACGCTCAACCATAGAGTGAAAAGAATTTCATCAAATGCAGCTGCAAACTCTGTTCAGACAGCAATTAAATAATTATTTAGTTAAAGCGCACCATTTCAATTATGAGTGTAGTGTAAAAAATTGCTGAGCTTAACGGGGAGAAAAAAATTAAACAATAATTTATGAGGAATTCCACTTAATGATCGTTTTTTTATTGAAATTATACAAAAAAATACAGTACAGCTTAAAAATATTTTAAATTTATTTTATTTACCCTGAAATTATATTCATCAGAGATGATCAGTGAGTGACGCTCTCACCAAAAAAAGTGGACGCTGGGTTCGCTTAGTTTTGATCTGTTACTGGTTAGCTAACATTTTGTAGTCATTCAACAAAGAGATGAACTCAAGTCTGCAACATTTTCAACGTTTTATAAATATTCTATTTTCTCTAATAGTATATAAGTTTACAGTTATCGAAGCCGAACCCTTGTTCTCTAGTTATAGATACGTTTTCCCCCATTCTATTTTTACTTTTCTCTACTCTCGATATTTTTTTTATAGTATTTCATCAATTTGTGCCACAAAAAGTGTTGAATGCAGCGCAAAGCGCACACTTTATGGCTTCATTTACATTGCTTGGGTTTCATTATTGGTTCGCAGTTCAGCCCCATTCGACAGGCAGTCGACGCAGCTCGCCCTGATTTAGCTACTAAAACCTCATTGCAGCGGCTACCTCTGTCTCTCGTCTATCCTGGCCCCCTCGTTGCCGTGCCTCCAGAAGTTATTTATGCTCGTCTTTATGTGTCGCTCGCTGTGAACTTTAAGAGCCTCGAACCTTTGGGGTCAATTGTCGCATAAGCTGGGAGCTCACTTGCTCTTGCTAGCATTGGGTACTTGTCCTAGGCTCCTCGGCTACTAGGCAGTTTATTTTATTTTATTTTTTGCCATCAACAAACACAATTAATTAACGCTTCAAATGACAAAAAAAAAAACCTTAATGTCCACTAAAAGTGGCCTCCAAAAGCATTAAAAATAAAATTTAAATGCTTTTTACGCTACAGATTGCTTTTGCGTGATTTTATGAAACGACTAACACAACCATACATACACACACACGTATACACATCTGTTCTATCTGTTGTCCAGACCATTAAATTGTCGTTGCGTGCTTTGCGATTTGTTTAAAGCCAAACGCTAAGCAGACTGCATTTAGCTTCGAGGTAGAAATTCTAGTTCAAATAGCTGAATATTTTCTAATGTTCATTTTAAGTACTAGTTCAGAAGATTTTTAATGATATATACTATTGACTCGATTGAAATGATTTTTATTAGTTCAGTCCCTCCTAACTGACTGCTGAATAGCTGAATATCATATGCTTTGCTTAAGCACTGGCGTTTATTATTAACTGAACTATATGGTTCACGATTCAATTAACTAGTTCATTCAATTGAACGTATTCTGAACAATACGACGCAACTCTAAAGTTCGTTCACATTTTAAAATTGCTTCCACTTAATTTATTACTGTCCTTCCAAGACATTCCACTTCCCTTTGCACTATGGCCTAGGCAACTTAGACATCGACTTGACGTAAGCTAATTTGTATACAATTTAACCAAATTCTGATAAAAGACCACAACAGAACAGCAAAAACAAAAGAGCAATGGGGCGTGTGCACAGAAAATTAAAACAAATCTGACTAATAGCTCAGCGCAAAAACTGTTATACGCCGAAAAAAAACTGTTATACACCGAGTGCCGAAAACTAGCTTAGACAACGAGAGACTGAGCTTTACAAGGCTATTTCAGCTTAGAATGAAGTATAAAAAATTATAATATATAATTTATGTCAGACTCGAATACTTAATACTTAATTTTAGCGAAAATAGTGTGCGCCCTCTCTGTTAAGGCATAAAAATCAATCAAGTCAAAGTTGAAAGAGAATAGATTAAAATATTTCTAAAAATATATATATGGTTGTGTGAGCTAACACTGAAAAAGGGAAACTCAATAAGACTTCTTGAAAACATTGTATTTTGGCTTTGTTTCAAGCTGCAACTGATACCAAATGGCGATTAACCAAGTGATTAATAGTCTGTTCTCTAGTGATATTGATGTTATAGTTACATATATATATGTGTGTATGTAATGCGGCCATATGCTTGTAATCCTCTCTCCATATGTTCACATGGACAAAGGCAAAGTGCTCAATGTTTATGACATGTTTTACAAGCAAAATGAGCGCTGCAGAGAGAGTCTGCTTCAGCAATCAAGCTTTTACACACCCGCACACCCACACACACACACACACATGCAACACTTTGTGGGCACACTTCCGTTTCCGTTGCACGTCGCGCTGTTGAGGTCAGCAACAGCAACAGCAACACCAGCAGGTGCATTTGCCAATAATTGATTGCATTTTGGCATGAAGCTGTTGCCATTTGCCACTGCCACTGACTGCTGACTGTTGTTGCCATTACCGTTTGTTATGCATAATAGAGCTGCGAGTTCCAGTTCGATCGAATTGGTTCAATCAATCATATTCAAGTTGGGTACGATTACATAATATCGGCATAGTTCTATGGGCATTACAGAAAATAATCTATCAATAATATTTGTTATTTTATCGATCAATAATATTTTATTTTATTATTAATTTAATATTTTTTTTAATTTTTTATGTATGAATTTTATATTTTATACCTTATTTATTTATTTAATTGTTTTTTGTTTTATTTATTTTCTTTCAATTCAATAATAAAATCAAGCAACCGATTTTTACCAATTTATCGATTGATCGTGTCATCCCTAGCTAATCGTCAGCTACTCCTATTGGTTAACTGTTCACTCAGCCACTGATTGGCTGCAGAATAGCTGCAGAGAACAAAGCGAATCGTTCATGACTGATTGAACGACTGAGTCGAGACTATTGTTCATGACTGAACTATATGCTCAATTTATCACTGAACAAGTTCAATTCAGTTCAGCTCACTACAATAACCCATTCAATTGAACTCAATCGCCTGCAGCTGCTGTTTACCTTTCGCTTGCGGCTTGCTTTGAGCACTTAATTTGCAGCATGCCTGCACGCCTTCATCGATCTACTTAGCCGTAATTTGATGAGCAGTTAAATTGATTATACTGCTGGCAGGTATAGATATATACATTCTAGTTTACAATGTAGTTACGCTCCAGATTCAATTATCGATAGCCAACACAGCTCACATATTGTTTTCCTTTAAGTGAATGTTGTTAAGGCATTGATTCACACAAATGCCACAAAGCTAGTCAACGAATCATTGAGCAAAGCCAGAGTCAAGTAAACCTTGAGGCAATAGCCAAAATCAATCGACGCTTAACTGCCAAAGCGCAGTGCACGACTAGCAGATATCCTGTAGATCAGTACAAATTGTTTAAGCCACTTCGGGCCAAACATATTTAGACCATGCAAATGCTCAACTAACAGATATCCTTTAGTACACACTAGTCACATTATCACAACTATAATACACCCTATCTGCAACATATACAGGGTATTTAACTACAATTTAATGCATACTGCCCGTAGCTAAGAAATTACGAATTGTTGTTGCTGCTGTTGTCGTCGAGGCAACATTTCGGTCGCGAACAAAAACAAGAATGATTCATCCCACTCGGCTTTGGCATTGGGCAAATGTCCTTAGCGAGCATGACGGGGCGGGATTGAAATGGCAAACAACAGCGTCGCCATTTTCATTATCCTTGGACCTGCACAAGTAAACATTTCGTATTGTATTTAAAAATGAAATGACAACATTCCGGAAAATCCTCCAGCTCAAGCTCAGACTCAGCCACGCCTTAGCCAGGACAATTGAAAATGCTTTTTGTGCAAATGTCAGAGCCAGCAGCAGCAGCATCTGCGAAAAAATGCCCAAAGCAGACTGCAGGATATGCCACGCTGAGTTTAATGTCTGACGATAAGATTCCGTGAGACTTGTAAAGAAATTCACTCGCACACACAGTCAGCTAATAATTTATTATAGAAAACTACATCTTTTTTTGATAACTACTCAGAATAGTTTTGTGTCTTGATGCGCTGCATGGGTAGTTCAAAAAATGTTCTTTTAAAATAATTTAAAATTTTAAATAATATATTTTTTTCTAATTTTCACATAAATTTGGTTTTTTTGAAGCAACCCTCGTATATGCTGCATACTACATGTCCAGCAAGGCCATGCGGCTTCAGCTTGTTTGTGTTGTGTTGTGGACGTCGCTACCAAAATAAAAAAAAAACAATTTTCGTAAATTTTTTAGAATTTACATCTTCTTCTTCATCTGTTACGTCGTCAGCAGGTCCTTGATTATGAAGGTGAAGACCTTGAGGTAGTCTCCATTTCAATTGCCGAAAAACTTGGCAACTTAACAAATTACCTGGTTTAAGTATAGAAAATTGTAACATTTAGTTTTATAAGTGAGTGAATATATCGCTATTTTATATCTTTAAATTAAAATTCATTTCTAGTTGTAGAGCTATTCAGCAGTGAAGCAACTAAAAGGATTGGGCTTCTGACTGAACTTTGTAAAATATTGTTCTGCTTGCGTTTGGAAGGTTTCTTCATAGGTGTGACCTTAACATTTTAAGTGTTCCATTTTCAAGTTTCAAATCGTTATCTTTATATTTCGAAACTGAAATGCTGAGTCTGTCTGAGACATAAACGTACAGCAAATTGCTCGCATTATCACATTATTATGCATAAAAGTGTATATTTGAGCTGCAATAAAGCAGTGCACTCAAAACATAAACATTTGCTTGCATAAAAAATACTTAATAGCGCTTAAATAATAAAAATATTAGAACATAATAATTTTTTTAAACTATTTTTCATGATTCTTAATAGCGAAAATAAAGTACTTCAAGCAGCTTATCTTATGATATCATAAGCAAATATATTACAGGGTATCTGCTAGCCGTTCACTGGCGACCCACTTGCTGAAGGTCAAGGCTTTTGGGCATGTTTTTGCGACCGGAAGTTGGCAAGCAGCAAAGCGCTAACAGTGCTTACTTTGCTTCTATCTTAGCACTTAATTATAAAAGTCTCAGCGCAAGTGGAAACATAGAAAGGACGAAAAGAAAGGGTGAAACGAAAGAGAGCTGAACAGGCTGGCCACAGTTGCTAAAAAATTAAACGAAAAAAGCAGCAAAAAACGTTTTTCTGAGCGGGTGCAATGGGTGGGCGAAGCTACCTGCTGCGCACAAAAGTAGGCAACGTTTGTCTGCACTTTGTTAAGTCTATGCGCACGTGTGTGTGTGCACGTATGTGTGCGTGTGTGTGTAGAACAATGGTCGTTTAGCTTAATGCTTAATGCTCGTAACTGTCGCTTGAAGCGTGCAAAAATTGTTCAAACCACCAAACAGTAACAAAAAAGTGAGAATAGTGCAGTGCTTCACTAACACATACCCTGCAAAATTTTGAACTACAAACCCTTTGCTTTCTTGAAATTTTCTAAATATTTTTATAATCGCTATTTTTTTTAAATTTTTCAAAATATTTTATAATCCTTTTTTTTTAAATTTTTCAAAATTATTTATGTTTGTTTAAAAATAAAGTTAAAAATATTTATTCTTGAAATTCATATTTTTTAAGCTGCCCTCGTAAAAATATGATATTGAACTGCATATTACATATATATGTTCAAAAGCCCTATAGCAAAACCCTTTTAACTGACGCCCCCAGCATATCTCCTTCACTCAGTTCGAGGCATAAATTAGAAAAATATGAAGTATTTGTTGTTGCACTTGTTTTTAGCAAAGCTTTTGCCATCATACCTGTACACACCTGCTAAATTCACATTTTCAATTCCAGGCAATGGCTTAATCAACGAGGCCGAGTTTCTTCAGTGGGTGGGCAGAATTCAAGCGCTGCGAGACGAGCAGCAGCAACAGCACGATGACAGCTCCAGCACCGCCAGCAAACCCGTCGACGAGGCTGACGATGTAACCGAGGATCTAATAGCCGCATTTAGGTAAGTCGACGGGACTAAATTGATAGATGTAGCTGATTCCTTGCCTAATTCACAGAGTATTTGATCGTGATGGCAATGGATTTATCACACGAGATGAACTGCAAACGGCCATGGAAATGATTGGGGAGCCCTTGAACGAGCAGCAGCTGGAGCAGCTGCTCGCCATTGCCGATTTGGATCAGGATGGGCGCATTAATTACGAGGGTAAGTCACACACACACTCACACACAAACACGCTGCACCCACAAAGGCCAACAGTGACGTTGGCAAGCGTAAGGCCAGTTTAGAGCTCCTTTTATGGCCGTTCCTACAGTGAAAAAAGGGTATATTAGCTTTGTTTGTACATCAGTATAAAGAAGCTGAATAGAGCATATAGATACGTCTATAGCCTCGTTTAATGTAGTGTAAAGATTTGTTTTCTACTCTTTCGGCAAATCATACATTATTAAAGCTTCTGCTATATAAACTCTATTATTGAAGCTAGAGACTTACAGTATTATAAACATATGACTTCCATTCTTCCAATCGAAAAATTTTAAAAATTAGCAAAAAAAAATTAGCTATTTTTAAATGTTGAACGAGAATTAAGCAGTCGTTCATATCGCACAGTTTTATTTCTGCCAGTGCGTAGAAACACAAAAAAATATAAAACCGCAAAATGCGCTAGCTTCACTTTTACTACTATTGTCTGTGCGTTAATCAAGCTGCAGCATAAAAGACACACACACGCACACGCATCCACATGCTCAGGTGTACCTATATAACCTTGTGCCAATATTTGTAAAAGCCTCACTCATAAATCAGCTAGACAAATATAAACAGAAACCGCAGCAAACGAGAACTCAAGTTGAATAACCCCAGGCGCAGCAGTTGGACTAACAAAGAATCCCGCGTTGCTCTAGACTCAAGGTCCTTAACACAGTTTTTTATGTATGTACGCATAATTTATTTGTTTTGTTCTTTATGATGGCAGCTGAATTAGTGCAAGTTCGAGTTCAATAAACATTTTTGAATACCAAACAAGTTCAATCTGAAAGCTAGTTCACATTTGAAACTAAAGTTTCAATTGGTTCCAGTTCTGATACCATAACTAGTTCAAAACCATTTAAGAGGGGGATTTTGCTGTTGTTAACCAACACAAAGAAAAATTTGTATGGTTAAACAGAGAAAAAAGCCAAAGAACTTGTTACATTTACATTGGGAAAGGGTATTCAATAGTATGAACTATATCATTGGCTGGCATAAAGAGTCAAAAGTAAACATTTATCCTAAGGACACGTTCGATGTGTCCCATGCGTGGCATTAAATTGATTTACGAAACCCAAAGGCAGATGTTTCATTCATTCTCAAATATGTCTTCATGTGTGTGTATGTGTGTCGTCCAAGCACATATATGACTTTGTCTAGTATGTTGGTGTGTGAGCGAGTGTCGACTTGACTTAATCATTAGGTTCAGATGCCATGGCATTACAAGTTGTTACTTTGACCTTGGAATACTCCGCTTGCAAGCCAACTCTCCTGCTCTCCAGTTATTGGCTGCCATCTGCAATTTATTTATTTTGGCCTATTTTTTTTACACACGTGCAAACAATGTTATTTATTTCTGCTTTTTTATGCACTAGCTGCACCAGATGATTCATAAAAAAATAGCTGAGAACCTTTCATTCCTTAAAGAACCTTCAAATATTTGTTTATTTTAAATACAATTTTTTTATAGCCTTATATTATTAGCTGTACGTTAAATGTTTAGTTTCTATTTATCCTAGAAAAGTAAAAAATATAAATATAAATATACTTTCTTTGTACCTTTTAGAACAATTTTAATATTTATCTTTTGGCTTCATTTTATATTCATTTTTTAGTAACTTTCTGCTACGTTTAACGCACACTTGCAGGGTATTTCCAGTTCGAACATTTGTTCTATATTTATTGTTTATATTGTTTGTTTTGTTTCGCTAACATCAAAAATTGTTTTTGTTGATTCACACCAGGACCTACGCAGCAAAGCCCCTGAGACATACCTCTTAGCAATTAATTGACAACGTCTACATCCACTGGCGCAATACCCATTGAAAATAAGGGCTCAAAACTTTTTTAGCTCTCGTTAACTTTAATACATATATTTAATTTATATTCATTTCATTCTTTTTTCTTGCAGAGTTTACGAGACTTTTGCTGTAAACGTCGACCTCCCCGCGATTTCGTTTGGATTGGGCAAAAGTTTAACAAATGAAACTTAATTATACTCAGCCAGAATTCATGAATGTTTTGTAGGGAAAACAAACATTATATTTATATTTAATTAATTATGCTAAGATACTAAGAGAAAGCAGCAGCACATAAGAACGAACTTTTAAAAGTTTTGCACATGGAAAAGCGAAAAAACATTTGGAATTTTCTCTTGGACACACATACAACACATACATATTAGTTTCTAAATCATTTGTAAAAAAAAGATAAGCAAATTTTTAATATTCATTTTTTGTACTACTTTAGTTGATAGTTGGAAAATGTTTTGTATAATTATGCTCGTTCACAAAATGAAAAGAGTATATTGGATTTTGAACTCAAAGCCTTAAGCTACACTTGAGTTTAGAGAATTGATATTACGAAGGTATAATGATAAGATATTCTGAATATGAGAGGAAACTATAAGTTCCACTGGTTTATAGCTAGTTTTTACATAGAGCTGCTATACAATTTAAGCATAGCTTACCTATCTATGCCTTCAGAAGCCATTGCAAATGAGGTATTCTATATATTTCTATATCTTTGGCCTTTGCAACTGTTGGTCTGTGTCGGTTATCCTGCTAATGGGAAATCATAAGAGGACATTATCAATTTAGTCATTTTCATGCTGTGAACGAGTATTACACAGTCGGCTGCGCCTGACTGCTAAGTTCTTAATTGTTTTTAATTTTTTACCAATCCATAAATTTTTTTAAGTAACAAAATTATATGAAATTACATTATATAAAATACATATAAATATATATATATATATATATATATATATATATATATATATATATATATATATATATATATATATATATATATATATATATGCAAATTCGGATAAGTCTGAGAGCGTGAGTGATATTGTGTTTAGGGTGCTGCATTGACAAAAAAAACTACAAAAAAATAAATAAATAAAATAAAAAAAATATAAGAGAAGCAACAGGGCATGAAAAATTTAACTATTGCATATACTTATATATATCGAAAAAAATAAAAATAAAAAGAGTTCATATGTTTGTGTCTTAAATAAGTTAAAAAATTGCTTTAAATGTATTTTGAGCAAACAGCAAAGCCATAAAATATTTCAAAAACAATTCAATTTGATGCGAATGTTAAGCCCAAATATATATATATTTATAATAATATTATTATATTAAATGTCTAGTTACGTAATTGTTAAACTATTGAAATATATATCTATATGAATACAACAACAATAAAAAAACTAAAAATATTTCAAAAGAAAAAAACTATTATCAAAATGCAATTTAATTGCTAAGCAATTCAAAAATCTCCCAAAATAAATGTAAAGAAGAAACATATTTAATAAACAAGAGAAACCATTTTTATTTTCGCAGAAATCAAAAGCAAAGCAAATTGAATCAAAATTGATTTATCTAGTCACCTTACTTGAGAACCTTCCAATTGTTTTGCTTCCTATTTAAGTTTATCTATTACACATAAAAAACGAAAAATAATATATCTATCAAAATTCAAAAGTCCATTGCATCGCCGTCCCAGCTACATTATAAAAATAATAAATATATATAAAAGTTAAAAGTTCAATTCAAAGTAAATATTTTATAAATTTGGCTTGTGGCAGTGGTTTCAAATTATTTTTGCAATTTGGAGCAGAGCAAATTTAACTCGAACTAATAATTATTATATATATTATATATATATTTAGATCCATATACAAGCATGTGTTTTCTAATAACCAAAATTCTGTCAGGTCAATAGTACAAATAGTCGAAAGCAAATGAAAAAATAGAAAGCAAAGCAAGATGCAACAACATTTTTGTATGGTATTTACAAAAATTGCCAGACAGATGAAAATTGAAAAAAAAAATTTTTAATTTAAAAAAAATTAAATTTGTATATATACATATATATCATATATGTATATGAATTCAAAAGCAGTTCGTTTCAACGTAGATTTTTATGATATCTAATTGTGCTTGAACTATTTATAAATGCAAAAATATATACTAAACTATATATTAAATATATTCTTACTATATGCTGTTTGTATCTAATATAACTTAATGGCTGACAGTAAAAAAATTAAGACATTATCTAAGTATATGCATTATAATTTAGGTACCTTTTTTACTTGTTTGTTTTGTTAAAGTTTTGATTGTTTTCGGGTATCTGAAATGGCAAAAACATGTTTAAAAAACGAACAATTATAAAAAATAAATAACAATATACCAACGCTCAATAAAAATGTTTTAAATCTTATTGGAAGAAACAGTAGGCCTTGGATATTAATTTTCCCGTCATCGCCTCACACTTCAGTATAACATTCACAAGTACAAAAGGAACATTCAGTAAGCAAAATATTGTCGCTCAATTTGTCGACGTTTCCAAATTTCACTCTGTGCATATCGTGTATATTTTATATTAAAAAGATTTAAAAAAAAATAATAACACGTGACATTGTTATTGATTAAAAATCATGAGCGATCCAGATGATAAGGTAATTATAACCTCTGGTCTTTCAACTACTCTGATTGTATCTTCGCTTCGTCTTACAAAATTTTTAAATTTATGTTTCAAACTATTTATCGATAAGTATTCAGCAGGCGAATTCGCTGTTTAACGTTTTGAGTAGTTCACCTTAGCTATCAGTGCATAATTAAAATATAAAAGAAATAACGATAAACGCAGTTTACAATCTTAAATAAACTAAAATGTAAGGCTTTGTTTAGTTAACATGACTTCGTTGTTTAATAAGAATTTAAAACAAAAATATTTTTTTTTTATTCTATTTATTTATTTTTTGTGCGATTAATCGTGACCAACCTAATTCGCCGGCTACCATTTTGAGTAAGTTCACGCAAGAGACCAGTTCAATGTAGTTGAACGAGTTCCGCTGTGAGCAATAGCCAGGTACCATCGCGGAGCACGCACGAAATCAATTTTTACAACGAAAACGACAGTGCGAACTGATTATATTGTCCATTGTATTATTTAACGTTTTTTGTGTTGTACGCGCGATATATAAAAGGGTTTCATTGAACCCGCCGAAAATATTGTTAAGAGTTTAAAATAAAGCCGCAAAAGTGGATACCGATAACGCAAAAATTGAGGATTTGATGGACTCTGATCCTGACATTGAGTTCATTGAAAAGGATAGCGGGATGTCTTCGTTAGGTGGTAGCAAGGACGAAACGCCAGAGCGGCGCACAGTAGCCATTGTAAGTAAAACCGCGTGCACTTTAAAGCCCCTGCCGTTTTAGTTATCGTGCTCACGTAATTAGAGAACTAGTCCATCTGCTTATCAAGTGTACATACGTACACACATACATAGTTATGTATATGCATTCGTACATATTGATTATTACAACGTGCATCAATTGCATTGCTTTCTTTACAGCCCGCAAATGACGAACCGCAAACAGATGGTGAGAATTACGATGATGTAAGTTTTGCTCGCAATTTATGTTTGTAAACATGCAGCATATTTATATATATATATGTACATTCTAACCTCACATTTTTGTTTTAAGGAACCAGACGAGTCGTTCGGTGAACGTATGATGGGACTATCAGAAATGTTCCCGGAATCAGTGAGAAATGCGGCCAGCACCGTGACTACCACTGCGGTGAAGAGTTTCCGTAGCTTCTATCAGTTCTCGTGCAACGCGTCGTGGATATTCTTTACTAGTTCCGTCATACTATTTGCTCCCGTCATTTTCGAGACCGAGCGCGCCCAAATGGAGGAGCTACACAAGTCACAGCAAAAGCAAGTGTTACTTGGTCCAGGCAGTGCCATGGCCGCAACTGGAGCGTCGCCCAGTTTACCATTGATTCGTTAATTAACAACTTTGATATATATATATATATACATATATGCATAATACGTTAGTTCAATTTACCAGCGGGGACGCAACAATAACAACAGCAGCAACACTTAAAATGGGATAGTGCCTCACGCTCTAGAGTATAAGTTGGAATCAATCTCGATTCAGTTCACGTACCCCTGCCAGTGAATGTTAATTAACATTACAACCAAACTGAAACACACACACATACACACTCATACAAATAGCAAGGTATGAAAGTCAAGCAGAGTCAACGCCTTTAGCATTTACCATCTTTTTATCCACTCGTTCAGAGCAGTTGGCACAGAACTTTCAAATAGGGTTTAGTACAAGTATTTGTAGTTGGCCTACGCATAATCAAGAAGAAAAGAACAATTAATGTTTATAAAAATTAATAAAATCGTTTATTAAGAGTTAATTACGGACCGCCGAGATATTCTCTTGGTATGGGATGCTCCATGAAGTAGCGACGAAATTCTCCAGCGTATTTATTACGCAGCGCTCGTTCACCGTATTCATTGAATCGTTGAGCGAGAAATACATAGACATCCAAGACTTTCGCATGTGCCGACAGTTGCTTAAAGGACTGTGCGGAACGCTCTAGTATATCCAAAGATTTCAATAGTTGCGCTTTGCGTGCCTCCGCCTCCTTAATGGCCAGCAGGCAACGCACGAATACAAAGTCTGTCTTGGCCCTTTCGTAGAGTCCGCCATTTATGTGTATATCATCCATGCTACGCTTAATGGCTTGGTACGCCTTCTGTGGCATGCCCAGCATTAGAAGCACCTGTGCGAGTAACATATCCACCATGGCCAGCTCGTAGTCCATCTGGGATTCGGACATATCCTCGGCTACACGCAGTAGTAGCGTAACTGCCTCGCTAGAGAAATTTCCTTCTGCCAAACTGCAGTAGGCGAGTAGAACTTGGACACGCATACGCAGCAGAAACGGCAGCTCCGACTTGGCTGCAAGCTTATCCAGCAGACGGCGTGCATTGAAGAATTCGCGTTTGGCGACATAGATGGCAGCGCGCTGCTGCATCGCAGCCGATGGATCGAGCAGATGAAGTTGATCGCAGGCTTTTAGAGCTTCATGCCAACGACAGCGATAAATGCCCGACTGTATTACCACATGGCACTGGCTGATCATCCAGCATTCAGCGTTGGGCATGCGTGGCAGCTGTTCACGGGCGCGATGAAGCAATACGCGAGCGAGACGCAATTCACCCTGCAGATGCAGCCACATGGCATAGCTTGCCAAAGCGCTGCCCATCCCAGCAGATCCGCTGCAATTGAAACGATCCCGCACGGACAACAGCAGCTGAGCATACAAAGCTGATAACTCGTGCCTTCCATAAGCACACCAAACAGCACTTCTCAAAGCCAAAGCTTCCGAGGCATGGTTGGATAGATTATTTCGATTGGTCAACTGATCACTATTCTGCAGCAAATCGAACAGTCGCAACGGCTGATAACCAGCCACAGTGCCGAGCTTCACAGCAAAGTGAAGTGCTAACGTATAGTTCTGTAGAAGATTGCCGTCCGCATCGCTGATGTCAGCTACGCTGCGCTGCACATACGATAGGGGCAGCTCATCGCGCAGCAAACAGTGCCAGGTGTTGGCTAAATTTAAGCTTCTCTTATCGCCATGCTCTTGGGCCAGCATAATGCTCTCTCTGAGTGCAGCCAATGCCTCTTCCCGATGCCCAAAAGTTGCATGCAGCACGGCTAGATTGATGCAAAAATACTGATAGCCTTTCTCTTGGCTCATCAGTCGCACAGGCGAACGATCCAAAGCACGATGCAGAGCCGATAGTGCATTATAGTAGTCGCGTATGCGCAGCTGATTCATGTATCCCAGAAAATAGGAGGTTGTATTTAAAGGCAGATCCTCAATAATCTGCTGCACCTTGAGCTGGAGCTGCTTGGGTGACAAAGCGCTGCTTTCGTCATTATCCAACAGCTCCGATTGTTTGTTAATAAAAAATTTCGCTTGCTTCGGAGCCCATCTGCTTAGTGGTTGGCTAAGTTCTGTCTGTTCCTGCTTTGGCTCAACTATGTCCTTGCTGATCTCCTCCGACGCTGGCGGTGGAGGCGTTTGCGATCTATGCAGCACACCGCCAACAATTAATTTTCGTGCTCCTGATGACAAGGCGCGTATGCCACGTTCATAGTATAGACATATATTCCGATACATGCACATCATCTCGGCGAAGGTGAAACGTTCGAGTACAACAGCGATTCGTCTGACATAAACGCCAACCATGCTGAACTGGCTAACGCCATAGTCTTCATTCAGAAGTGTATCGATATTTTGCATTTCCGCGAAGTCAAACAATGCCTCAATGCTGGCCGAGCCACAGAACTCTGACATTGCCTTCTCGAAGGCCTCCAACATAAGTGTGTCCAGCTTAAACGGTTTGTTCGTAATCAAGTGATGCAGCTCATTGTACGACATGTCAGCCTCCTGCACCAGCTTGAACATGAGCATGCAAAACATGCGACGTCTTTGTGGACGCATCGTAATTCCCGAATCCATTGACGTCTTTTTATCCTACATATATTTATATGTGTATGCATATATCAGCTTATCTACAAATGCACTTACCTTTACATATTGTTTGAGTAGTATCAATACAGCTACTTTGTGGGGTGTTGGTGTCTCTATACGCGGGGGCACCAGCTTGGAGCTGGGATCCAATGTATCCAGCTCCTCAAATAAATTCATCTCACCTGAATTTTTTTCGTGCCGGCAAAAACACAAACTAATCACACACACGCACAAACTGAGCAACAGCCAACTTCACTTCATACGTTAAAGACCTTAAAACATATGGCAGGTCAGTTTGGCGGGCTTTTAAAAAATTGATTAACGTCATACATGTCAGTGCTTCACTGCACTAAGCAGCAGCTAACTTAACGTGATATAGTAACCAGGGTGCTGCCAACCTGCTTGAGACGTACTACTCAATTTGGCGGAAATTTCAAAAATTTGATCAATATAAACATAAGTGAAAGCGTTGCAGACTGTGAAACACTCTATTACATAAGAACTGAGTCAGAGTTGATCCCTTATGGCGTTTGTTTCTCAAAACTAGTGTATTTGGTTTGAGAATATATCATAGCTTTAGATACAGTGTATAAACGATATAAGGTGATAGGTTCAAAGTCTACCAATTTCGTGAACTCATGTTTGCCTAATAAACAAATAAATATTAGTGTGGCACAAGCCAATATACAAAGTCCGTCAATCTTCTACCCATTTATATTTAACGAAGTTAATTAATTCTAGACAATAAATTGGAATAGCAGTACGTGGTGTACACCTCTAAATTTTGCAAATTTGTGGTATCATTTGCTGTTTTAAATAAGAAATGGGAAAATGGCACGGCGACCCCTTGGATAATCCTTGAATTCCTTCTTGTAATTGCGGTGCTTGGCCAGAGCCCAAACAGTCATCTGGAATGCACCAGCGAATGCAAACAGATAGGCGGGCAAGCAGGAGGTCATTGCCGAGAAGCAAACCCAGGCGCCAATCTCATATGTATAATTGGGGCAAGAGACCAGACTGCAAAAAATAACATTGCATTGAATACTAATTAAATTTACAATCAAGATAAAAGATAGATTTACTCACTTGAAGAGCTTTGTCAATGGATTGCTGTCGGCCACAGGAATCTTGCGCACCTTGGTTCCCGGTGGACGCAAATTCCGTAGAGCAATGTGGACCGAAAAGTTGCCCAACTCGCAGAGCTAAAAAGCAAAAACATTTTAGAAATGTTATATCAGAAAATATTTGGGCAGGACTCACAGCAAAGGCAGCCAATGCAGCATAGACGGTACACATGCATGGGGATGTGTAGAGCGGGTGATTGACATGATAGGAGACGTACGCTGTGAAGCCCCAATAGTAGCTGCAATTCTTAAACAGATTACGCAGCGGCATCGTATTATGAGAGAAACGATGCACAAAGATCGTCTCCAACAAACGTTTCACATAGTGAACCGTATAACAGCCAGCGGCTATGCTGTGAATGATAAATAATTATGATTAATAAATTATAAGGTGAAATTGATAGATTCCCTAGGCAACCAGATAAATAAGAGATTTCTCTAAGCTTCAAATTTTTTGACTAACTTTGCATATAATTTGTGAAAATTTGTTTGCATATATTGATATTAGGGTATAGTCTAGACGTTATTTGCCAGCCTATAAACCCCATTTCACGACTTTATGCGTACAGGGTATATACAAATTGTGTTGAAAGCGTGTTAATGATTATGCAGCCAACAACAGGTAAAAGCTAGTCCAGCGCTGATCACAAATTATTTGCATAAGCTCACAAAATCGACCGCTGGGTCAAGCGGGTCGATACGGCTGTCTCTGTGTGCGTAATACGTGTATATATATATATATATATATATATATATATATATATGTATATACATGTGTGTGCGTTACTCTGGCGAAAGTCACACACACACAGAGCGAAAGAGATAGATAACTAAAAATGACTTACTGAGTGGTCAGCGAAATGGGATTCCCAGCTGCCTTGCCATAGATGAGCTCTGGCCGAAAATAGAAAATAAGATAAACAATCAAAGGACCTGCATACTCAGACAGGAAAACAGTTTTCCAGCCGATTTGTGGTCCCAAATCCTTAATGTAGACCTTATCCCCATTGCCGAGGTTAAGCGATCCAACTGTATCCGTATCCTTCAAGCTCCTGCCACGCGGTTCCAAGCGACTTAAATGAAAACATTTGTTTTTAATTTTTGAAATTTTATCCACGCTTGCATGCGTGTGATTAACTGTGTAGGTGCACTTACAGCGATATGCGGTCGGCATGCGGCGTTTGCTTTAAACTTTTGTGAATCACTACTCGCAGCTCGCTAATCGCCACCGAGGTAGAGGACACATTTACCTTGCCGTAGGCTTTGCTAGTTTTGGCACTTAGTACTTCCAGCTCCACCATTTTTCGTGACTGCCACTATTTTCCGTATAGATAGTCTTTATTTAGTGTTACTGAATATCGAAAGGTCGCCAATCAGAGATAGATTACGTAGATTATGTTACTGTTATACAACTCAAATAGCACTGTTAAGTAAAATGCGGCAGTATGTGACATCACAAAATTGTGTGCTCAACTAGCAACGCTTATCATGTCAAATTTTCTAGTTCATATATTAAAAGTTGTAAAACTCAATTGACAATGTTATATCAAATTTGGTAAGTCATAAATTCAGTCAAGTTTTCCATTGTACAATGTGACATTTTTAAATTTTACAATTCAACAAAAATATATGCTTAGTTAACATTGCTTAGCACATCATATTTCCTGTATTTGATATATTTGACTTTTTACTAGGCCAGTCGACTCAGCACGTAAAGCAGGTCTTGTCTTGAATTTGTTACAAAAAATTTTTAATTGTGTGGTGAGTGTGTAGTTTTAGAATACAAAAAAAATTTATTTCGTAGTAAGCTTTGAAAACGTTAAGCGTCTAAAGATATTTGTGCGACGCAACCTTGTTTTTCACCGAGTCATTTTCCGTTTGACTTCCAAAGTAAACACTTGGAGCTAAAAGAAATTGTGAAAATTGAGCAGACAAGCTATCAATATATAGTTAAAAAACGCAATCTAAACCAAACGGTATAGTGAAAATCAGCGAATAGCTATTAGACAAACGGTTTAAAAAACGGTGAGTAAAAGAATGATTCAATTTGAACATGGGTTAGGCTCAGCCCAGCGGTCTGGCAACCTTATGTTGTGGTGGTATATTGCTGTGGTGAAATTGAACGGGGGCGAGAGTGAGATAAATATACATCACTATAAGCAACTGCAATTGTGCATTACGATTCGAACGCATTGCTTAGGGACTACTTGGTATAAGTTTTCAATCTTCTTTCATTATATTAATACAACTACAGGCATTAATGAATTAAAGAGAATAGCCAATAACCTTTTACGTTTAAATCAAGCATATTATAATCAAATGTAACTACATGACATTTGGGAGTGAGCAGGATAACCATATTGACATTGTAATTTCCCCAACGTAGTACACAAAATTTCTCCATCAGTCACAAGTCTATAAAAAGCGAGATACAAACAGAATTAGCCGAAGTATTCAAAAAGTGAAGCAAGAGAACTGGCAGAAAAGCAAAAATAAACTGAAATAAAGTTAACTTAGGGTGGAAAATTAAATATTCAAAAGTTAAAAAATCAGTGAACGCAAAAGTGAGTTTATATTATTATTTAAAAAAATAAACTTGTGAACTAGGATAAATAGATATTCGATACGCCATTGTTTCTTCCGTATTTTTGGGTTACGTGTTTTTTTAAATGTATGATTTACTACTTATTGGTTTGCAAATTTGTTGTGAAATCCGCTTGTGGCGTCATTGAAAATTCGAGAAGGCATATAAATGCATACATTCATTGAGAAGGATATAAATGTAGCTGCGAACGTATCTGTATGTGTGCGTGTATTATTTTCACGCACTTATCTAATGCATACATATTTATATATATACAGGGAAAAATCAATTGCGCACTAACAAATTGTAGTATTTGTAAGAAAATACACTGCGTATTTTAGATTTTCTTTTTATTATAGAACACAAAAGTAATACGTTGCGAAAGCTCAGACGCAAGAATCTGTAAATACGTGAGTATATATACGCATACGTATATAATAAGGCCAATGACAGCAATGGCCGCCAACAAAGGTTTTTCCTTTGTTCAAGAAATTGACCAAGGGAGGAAATGGGAAAAGCAATAAAGAGGGTATATGCATACATATACGCATTATCGCGTATGTATATATATATATATATGTACATGTGTGTGCGTCTGAGGTCAAGCACAAAGCAATCCGAGAAATACTCGAATTTTCTACAGCTGTTAGTCATCGTAGTAGTTTAATTTCATAATGCATAGAGTTGAGGTCTGTTAGGAGTTTTATTTTCTATTTTTTTCTATTCTATTTTTAATTTATTTTCAGAATTACTAAAATGCAGATCTTCGTTAAAACTTTGACGGGAAAGACCATAACCCTGGAGGTTGAGCCTTCTGATACCATTGAGAACGTGAAGGCCAAGATTCAGGACAAGGAGGGTATCCCACCAGATCAGCAGCGTCTTATCTTCGCCGGAAAGCAACTGGAAGATGGCCGCACCTTGTCCGACTACAACATCCAAAAAGAGTCGACCCTCCACTTGGTCCTTCGTCTGCGAGGTGGTATGCAAATCTTCGTGAAGACCCTGACAGGAAAGACGATCACTCTCGAGGTTGAGCCTTCAGATACCATTGAGAACGTGAAGGCTAAGATTCAGGACAAGGAGGGTATCCCTCCAGATCAGCAGCGTCTTATCTTCGCTGGAAAGCAACTGGAAGATGGTCGCACATTGTCAGATTATAACATCCAAAAGGAGTCGACCCTTCATCTGGTCCTCCGTCTGCGTGGCGGTATGCAAATCTTCGTGAAGACCCTGACAGGAAAAACTATTACCCTGGAGGTTGAGCCCAGCGATACGATTGAGAATGTGAAGGCAAAGATTCAAGACAAGGAGGGTATTCCTCCAGACCAGCAGCGTCTGATCTTCGCCGGCAAGCAACTGGAAGATGGCCGCACCTTGTCCGATTACAACATTCAAAAGGAGTCAACCCTTCATTTGGTCCTCCGTCTGCGTGGCGGTATGCAAATTTTCGTGAAAACCCTGACAGGAAAGACTATTACCCTGGAGGTTGAGCCCAGTGATACGATTGAGAATGTGAAGGCTAAGATTCAGGACAAGGAGGGTATTCCTCCAGATCAGCAGCGTCTGATCTTCGCCGGCAAGCAACTGGAAGATGGCCGCACCTTGTCCGATTACAACATCCAAAAGGAGTCAACCCTCCACTTGGTCCTTCGTCTGCGAGGTGGTATGCAAATCTTCGTGAAGACCCTGACAGGAAAAACTATTACCCTGGAGGTTGAGCCCAGCGATACGATTGAGAATGTGAAGGCCAAGATTCAAGACAAGGAGGGTATTCCTCCAGACCAGCAGCGTCTGATCTTCGCCGGCAAGCAACTGGAAGATGGTCGCACATTATCAGATTATAACATCCAAAAGGAGTCAACCCTCCACTTGGTCCTTCGTCTGCGAGGTGGTATGCAAATCTTCGTGAAGACCCTGACAGGAAAAACTATTACCCTGGAGGTTGAGCCCAGCGATACGATTGAGAATGTGAAGGCCAAGATTCAAGACAAGGAGGGTATTCCTCCAGACCAGCAGCGTCTGATCTTCGCCGGCAAGCAACTGGAAGATGGCCGCACCTTGTCCGATTACAACATCCAAAAGGAGTCAACCCTCCACTTGGTCCTTCGTCTGCGAGGTGGTATGCAAATCTTCGTGAAGACCCTGACAGGAAAAACTATTACCCTGGAGGTTGAGCCCAGCGATACGATTGAGAATGTGAAGGCCAAGATTCAAGACAAGGAGGGTATTCCTCCAGACCAGCAGCGTCTGATCTTCGCTGGAAAGCAACTGGAAGATGGTCGCACATTATCAGATTATAACATCCAAAAGGAGTCGACCCTTCATCTGGTCCTCCGTCTGCGTGGCGGTATGCAAATCTTCGTGAAGACCCTGACAGGAAAAACTATTACCCTGGAGGTTGAGCCCAGCGATACGATTGAGAACGTGAAGGCCAAGATTCAAGACAAGGAGGGTATTCCTCCAGACCAGCAGCGTCTGATCTTCGCCGGCAAGCAACTGGAAGATGGCCGCACCTTGTCCGATTACAACATCCAAAAGGAGTCAACCCTCCACTTGGTCCTTCGTCTGCGAGGTGGTATGCAAATCTTCGTGAAGACCCTTACAGGAAAGACGATCACTCTCGAGGTTGAGCCTTCAGATACCATTGAGAATGTGAAGGCTAAGATTCAGGACAAGGAGGGTATCCCTCCAGATCAGCAGCGTCTGATCTTCGCCGGCAAGCAACTGGAAGATGGCCGCACCTTGTCCGATTACAACATCCAAAAGGAGTCAACCCTCCACTTGGTCCTTCGTCTGCGAGGTGGTATGCAAATCTTCGTGAAGACCCTGACAGGAAAGACCATCACTCTCGAGGTTGAGCCCAGCGATACGATTGAGAATGTGAAGGCCAAGATTCAAGACAAGGAGGGTATCCCCCCAGATCAGCAGCGTCTGATCTTCGCCGGCAAACAACTGGAAGATGGTCGCACCTTGTCCGATTACAACATCCAAAAAGAGTCCACCCTTCACCTGGTGTTGCGTCTACGCGGCGGTTGCCTAGCCTAATTGCAAAAGACAATCCAAAATCAATCATCCAACACTTAAAATCAAGCTACAGAGTTTCCAAATTTTTTTTATTTCTGCAAAACACTAGATCGCAAGAACAAATTCAAAATTACAAGTTCAAGCATTGAGCCGAGTTTCCTGTCTGCTGTTTCTTCTGGCTTAATTCTTGCTTCAAATTCCATATACAATTACAAATAAAAATAAATTTATTCAAAATATTAATTTGTTGATGGAAAATGGGAACGGGAATACTCTGCTACAAATCGCAGAATAGAAACTGTTACGGGGTAACGGCCAAATAAGAAATAATAAAAAATTGACCAACATTATAAGACGATCATTCGTGTTAAATTTAGACCAATGAGTATACATAGCAAGGGAATGAAACAAGAAATCTAACTTGTCCAGTTGGATACATTTGTTTTTGGTGCATCTATATGCGGCACGTATGCACGTTTGACTGTGAATGGTATTTGTTTTGCAAAACATGGCAACCTTTCGTTGTGACTGTCAAGTGCAATACAAAAATAAATTAAATCGTTCTAAGTGAATGCTCCCCGTTTATTTTGGACAAGAGAAATCCATTGGCGAACGTGCAAACGAAATGGCTAAGGTATTGCATCGTGTGGAAATCACGCTGCGTAGCTTCTATGTATTTAATTCCAATTTAAGCCAGAAGGAAGGCGAGGTGAGTTAAAAAAATCCATGAAGAAACGCCTACAAAATGTATTTGTCATGCAACAGGAACACAAAAAGGTTCTGTTTTATCATCCAAATGATATTGAACTTAATACAAAAATCAAAGATGTGGGTCTCAGCGAAGCTATCATTACATTTACTGGGTGAGTCAGCGTCAGCAATAGCTACACCCTTAGAAAAATGTACATATCTTTACATCTACCAGAACGTTTACCAGCGATGACGATTGTAAGGCTTTGCATACACAAAAGACAACACAGCTTTTCTATCAGCCCGAGCCAGGCTTCTGGCTTGTGATGGTGCTGAATGTGCCCAAGGAGGTGAAGCTCAAAGATGGCGTCGAGGTGGCTGAGTATAGGGGGGGAGAAGTATCTGATAGGATATATCATGCTGTCTTAAGGCAATGCTATTATATGTATCGATTTCATCATGGTACGCTGCAGGCGAAGCTAACAGCGAGCACAACCAATGAGGAAGCGGAGGAGCAACGTCAACAGCTGGCTGCAGAGCTGCAAACATTTTATGATCGGTACTTGACTTCACTCAAGGATCTGGGTCAATGTGATATTATGGACATGCTGTACTCCATTCAGTATCTTGCTCTAGATAAAAGTCTCTTTTTGCGCGCCCATAACTTTGGTATGCTCTGCGATACTTTTTCAGCGGTCAAAGAGTGTATCATGTTCTACAACGACCAAGTTGTCTGTGGAGGCAAACTATCTGCTAGCGATTTGTATAGCTTGCATGCGTATGTCCTGGGGTTAGCTTCTGCTGGAGGCTCTGTGGAGGCCTATCGTGCGGGTGCATTTGTTCTTAAAGGAGAAGAGCCAATCACAACAAAAATCTACTTGGATTTGGATAAGCAAATTAGCTTACATCATTTGCTTATATATCGTGCATTGAATGTTACGCTCTGTCTTTTTGTGGATGGTAAAGAAAATCTTATTTAATTGCTTAAATTTTCTCTCTAAATGAAGGTTTCTTTATAGCTGTGCCTACGCAGGAGTTTTATGAAGAACTCCACGCTTACTTGGGTCCACAGCTCAGCTGCCTGGCTAAAGATATTGCATCCGCCACAAAGCTGAATGCGAGTGCTGATGCCACAGTTGCAGCTAACAATGATGATGGGTCAGCCAAATATCTCTTTATCAACGAGCAAAGCCTCAAGCATCATACAAATATTCATCGTAATGCAAAGAGCATACCAAGGAATGTAATGAGCATTATTGCAGATCTGGCTAATCCTATACAAGAAATTGCTGCTGCTGAGGAGCTGCAGGTGAAGACAACGAATGACTTTTGGATTGTGAAGCGGCGCTGCAATTGGCGACAATATTATGTGATCCTTAGCAAGAGTAAGGCTACGCTTCTCGATGTGACGCAGGAGGCAAAGCGTATATTTGAACAGGAGCTCACAGATGATGTATTCTTTGACAAATAAAAAGTAATAGTAGATAAATGAAAGGCGTTTTCCAATTGTATTTGCTGCTGCTGTTGTTCCTCGTTGCTGGTTGCCAGCAGAGGCCGCAGCATGGGCTGAGCTGCCTCTGTGGTTGTTCCTTTCAAGCCATCACCGTACTACTACTCGCGGTCAGCTCATTGTTGGCGTCATTGTACACGCTCGTCGAGGACGACGAACTGGTGGTTGCTCCATTTTGGCCTTTACTAAATTTTACAATATAAATATGACGATTTGACATGCATATGCTGTAGCTGTGATGCTCGTAATCAATACTAATACGTTCACAGCTATTGTTAGCAATAAAGTTGTCATCAATGCTGCAGGCATAGAACAAATTATATTAGTTTGATCACTTTCAGATTAGTTTTACTTGCCTTTCGGTTAGATTCAGCAGCCCCATTATTACATTTGCGCTTCGCTCATCATTTTTTAAGTCGCCACCCGACTCCAGCACTGCTCCATCATCCTTTAGTATTAAGTAACCAATTTGATTGGGCACAACCAGCTTATCTTTGTCCATAACTCAAATCCTTAAACTCACGCTCACGCCTTAAAATCTGTTCTTTATTGTTATTGTTAGCAGCTGCATTTATTGCCATTCACTGAGCACACCAACATAAATCGATATTATGCGCATATCGATAGCACTCTCAACTTTGACTACCATCGCCAACGATTTCGACCCCACCTCTAGTACAATACATTCAGTAAAGTACTCCCGTGCAGTTCGTGTGAAATTTAAAGCGCTGCGTGAAAATTAAGTAAAAAGTTGAAAATCAATAGTTAAACCAACAAATTTGTTGTAAAGCGGTTTATCAAGGTCCAAAGTGTAAGTTGCACATTGTTTTATTTGCACAATTATCGACCACACAGCTTTAAATTGCATTTGAAAATCGGCTTGTGTGTGTATTAGTGAAAATTTTTCGGGTCAACGCCACACCCTCGGTTTTATACACAGAAAATCTAATTATGCTTTGAAAGTGTGCACAGTGCCACAATTGAATTGTTAAAAGCCTATTCAAAGTGATTTTCTAACATTATTTCCATTTGGAAAGTGTGTAATGGGTGTACATTTCTGTATCTACGCTACATGTGAACCATTTTTTAAGCATGTTCATATGTGTGTGTGTGTGTGTTGTGTATACGTCATCGGGTTGTGCCGCAACTTCAGTCGAGAGAAAGCGAGAGAGATAGAAAGATGGAGAGCATGCACGGATACAAGCCGAAGAGATGTATTTTGGTGTTTTTAAAAAAGATGGCAACCCCTAATATTTTGTTTGCCTCTTATTTAAAATTTTCGATACCTGTTTGTAATAATGAATGTCCTTGACTTTCTCAATGTCTTGTTTATGTAGGATGAAGTTGCGCAATATGTTTTGTGTGCAAATTGCCGGTACGACAAATTCAACAAAGAGTTATACATTTAAAAAATGTATAATTTTGTTGCACTGATTGCCTTTTTTTAAATTTTGGCATTCATAATATCCATTCATTGCTCATAGTTCCAAGTTGTGTGCATTACGTCATCCAGCTATTTCTGATAGACACTTCAATAAATGTGTGTATATATGTAGAGATGTATGTTACCGCCGTTTCGCTTTATAGCGCTGATGTGTGAGGTCTGTGTGTGTGATTGTATTTAAAAAGAGAGCACGCTCGCTCTTCTCGCATTCCAAACAAAAATGTATAACCATGATATGGAGTCCCATGTACTCGAACACTTTCCCCCTTGTATCTCTCTCTCTCTCTATCTCACTCTTTCGCTCTCTTGCTGTATGTTGTTTTTGTTTATTATACCACGCAATAAACAGTTACAATTGTTTCCATTTGTTTGTGTTTGTTTTAAAGCGTGTGTGTATGTGAGTTTGTATTCGACTTTTGTATGGCTGCCTTAAATACAAACCCCGAATCCGAGCCTAGGGTACATTTTCTTCAATTTCATGCCGTGTATTAGGGCGATGGCGTAAACGAGTCGCGTGACAAAATTAAATTTTGATATTTGTATATTAGTGTGTCCAACCCTACTGTAAGACAACTCCCATGGGTGATGATGTCATTTAAGTAAGGCCAATTGAAGAATCTTTTCGAACTTTACTGATTTGACTTTCAGCTCTCTTCGAATTCTCTTATTAGAAAATTAGCCGTATTCTGTTTAAGAAATTTACTTTAAATGTATAACAGCTTTGTATAAAAGCTATATCATAACCAATATTGCAGCTTTCACAAAAAAAATTTATTTACTAACATTTAGTTCGTTAAGTAAAGTTATTATGGTAAAAATATTTCATAGGGAATGCTTTCCTTTGTGATTTATTCAATAAAATTGCATGTCAAACAAAATTAATTTTTGGTAGAACGAAAATAAATCTATCTAACCTAATTTTACATACACTACATACTATAATCTAATTAATTTTATATATAATTTGCTATCGTAAAACCTTCAAATATTTCGGCATAAATCTGAATTTAGTTCGTTCTTTAAAAATAGTTTCGTTACGTTTGTGTGTGTGTAAAGAAAGTAATCATCGAAAAATAAAAATAAATAAAGTGGCAACTTTAATACTCCCCAAGAAAGCAAATCAAAATAAATGCAACAAGACAAACACAAAGACCGTACAAGCAAAATTTCTCTTCTCTCATCTTCCGTTGCAGGAACGGGGCCTGAGTGAAAGATAGAAAAATGTTTTGTGAGAACGAGAGCTTGAACGTAATATAAACAAAAACATAGCGACGTATATAAATAAAAACGAAACAGAAAATGGAGCAAGCGGAGGAACTGGAACTGGAACCGGAGCAACATCTAAAGCACCTACTGAATAAACTTGAATCTATCGAGTTGGCTCAACTGCCAGAAAATTTCAAGGCATACTTTCAGCGAGAGCAGAGCAGCTTGGAAGATTTCGCCATTTACTTTCTGGCTGCACTTCGTCAGCACACGGAGCAGCATTTTCGTAACAGCCAAAGCAACGAATCGGATGCATCCAAAAGTCAAACGCCTGTACGCCAACCAAAGCCGCCAATACAAACAGAACATGAACTAAATGAATCTCAGCTAAGTCAACTGAGCATTGGCAATGTATCCACGCCTGTGCGACAGCAGTCACATGGACGTCGTTCCACTGGCGGCCAATTTAACAGCACACCGCAAAGCAACGATCGAACATCTAATCGCAGTGCAGGCGGAGGAGCAAGCGCTTCTTCTAGCAGCTTTTGTCTGGGTGACTTTTTGCTCAATACAACACCCAATCATAGCCAGCAGCGTTCAAAGAAGAAGCAGCTTACGCCACAGTCAAATACAACTCAAGATAATGCCAACAATAAGTCTCAAAAACCACGTCGACGCGTGGTTCCTATGACTATCAGCAAAAATGTTTCCTCATGCAGTTCTTTTGGCGACACCAGCTCTTTTAGCAACGAAAACAATCTGTTACGTCTCTCACAGACTTGTGAACTGGATCGCAGCCAAGGAGCTGAACTAGAACAGGAGGCAAGAAAGACGTTGCTCCTACGCAGACAGGAAATCAAAAGTGAAGCGCCAGTTGAGCAGGAGAGGGAGCGGGAAAGAGAGCAAAATATTCGAGATATAGAGCCAGTCAGTTTGGAACATGTAAGACAAACCAAGAGTCTACAAGTGCTTGCTAGCATCTATGCACTGCTCATGAATTTGAATCTTGTGCCAAATGTGTTAAGTGAAATCGGTTATGCGCTGCAATTGCTCAACATACGCAACGTGGAAGCTGATGAGAATCCTACAAAGTCTGAACCGGAAGCATCCTTCGCCCTACTCACGGGCTATAAGGAGTGCATTTACTTTGCAGTTCAATTACTGGAGCAACAGAAAGAACTGCTGATGCAACTAGATCGTAAATCATTGGCTGTGCTGCTCCAGCACGAACGTTTGTCGCTGCTCTCCAAAGAGATGCAGAGCCAGCTGGAACTGACGTACCAGCAGAAGCAGCAGTTGAAAAGCAAATGGGAGAATTTCCCGGAAATACCAAACCCTCAACAAAATGTCTACTACCAACACGAGAAGGATTCTCGTGATAATTTTCCTACTCAACAAGAGTTTGGAGCATTTAAGACACAGCGAGATCTTTTTTACAAGGCACTCAAGCAGTGGGAGCAACTACATCTCAATCGTGTCTTCTGCTTTGCCAGAGATTTGGGTAACTGTGTGCGAGAGATCTTTGCGCAGTCGGAACATGCTGTGAATATGGCGCATTTTGCTAAGCTCTTTGTCAGCCAGCTGCTCATGTCCAGTGGAGAGACTCACGAATCACCCGAAGAACTGGGCCTAAAGCTTGACCAACAGCGCCTTAATAGGCTGGCTCAGCGTCTAATCACCAGTAATTCTAGCGTCGAGGATCAGTTTCCACGCACTCAGGCGTTTTTTCGTGATTTTATTGGCGAATGCGGATCCTTGGCATTTCTAGTACAGCTCCAGCTGGCGCTCTATGTTCAACTGTTGCGTCATAATGATTCAAGTTTTGAGTTGCTGCCACTGAATCCCGATGGCGAGGAGGATGGCGAGGTGGTTCAATCTCCGTTTATCGTACGGCCACAGGCTCTTGCAGAGTTGCTTATGTTGGCGAAATTTCTAGGGTATGTTTGCGCCTTTCCTTATAATCGGTCGCCCAACTCTTACGCTTGTCCTCAACAACTGCAGCTACGACGCCAATTTCAGCCGCCATTTGAGATGCGCACGCATCTGGAACGAGCCATGCGCCAGGACAAGTTGCTCATTACGTTGCCTTGGCTGGTACAGTATTTAGCCATGTTAGATCTGGTCACACTGCAACTGCCTGCTACGCTGGCTACACTGGAATTGCTCTATGCGCTGTACGAAGGCGCTCTTGCCAATGAGAATCAACAGTTCTTTATTACACGTATCTGTATTGGCTGGCTATTGGAATCCCAGCCTGTGCTCAGTAGTGGCTACTATAGTCAAAGGAGCTCCAAATCTTTAGATGGAGCAAGTGCAGCATTGGTCGCTGATTGCCTGCGTAGCCTGAGCATTTCGTATAAGGGTCAGGCAGCGGCCCTTTTGGAGCAGCTTCTCCCAGTGGCTTGTCCTTCTCTTCATGAATTTTGTGTTTCCATTACGCCCTCGCAACGACAAGTGCAGCGGAATGGACGCTTTCGTTATATAACCACGCGGCTGGAACAGCTAAATGGAAGCAAGAAGTTGCAATCAGAGGAAACAGATGATGCTTTGCAGACTGTGCAAGCTTCACCTTTCGATCAAAAACAGCGCAAATTAGTGGACGCATTTCTGCACTCACAGAATGCATCCATGCGACGCCTATTGGAATTTGTTACGGAACGCAGCTTTAAATGTGTGGTCAAGGATGCACAACAGTCAATACTCCTGCCTTCCAAGTCTGCTGCTGATACGCAGGTCAATGGCATTAAGTCCACGCAACAGCAAGAGGTGTATCGGGAGCTGCAGCGTATTTATCAACAGGCACGTATCCAAGCCTCTCAACAATGGGCGGAGCAAGTGCCTGCAATGTTGGAGCAACGCATCGTACAATCCCTACAGGCTCTATTGCCCCTTAACACCCATGAGGTCGTGCGTCGCACCTATACCCATTTGATTAGACAACAGGCGCAGCCACAGCTGCAGCAGTGGTTAGAGACGAGTGTCATTAAGTCTAATTTTTATCACGGAGACCTACAGGAGGTTGCCAGCAAGGTGTGTCGTGCGAACAAAAGCAATAACCAGGCCGCCAGCAGCAGTGGAAATTCCAATGAAATGTGCCTAACGGAAGCGAGTGGACTCAGTGTGTCCGAGATACTGCATGAGCTGCAGCAGTGGGTGTACTGCCTCAGCATGAGACCCGATTATTTGTCTTATATGACCGATTTGCAGGGATTGCTCGACAGGACGAAACAGGCAGTTCAACTAAAACAACTGCCACGCTATTTCTATCAGCTGATTGGATCTGTGTTGGTGCGTCTGATACAGTTGCTTATATTCCGGCAGCCACATTTGTTAACACAGGCCGTCATCAGTACCAGCTGCGAGGTATGGCTGACACCTCAAGTGTGTTCCACTGATGATGCAACACCTGGCTTTCTTGAAAGCCTGCTCAACGTCAGCTTTGTGCAGGAGCTTAGCTCTAATCCTTCGAGCTTTCAGCTGCTGCATCACCTGCTTCACGCCATGCTGGAAGCTCGCGTGCTCAGCGTCGATAAGCTCAATCAATTATTTTTGCCACTGTTTAAGGAGAATTGGACACCGCCTGTGTGGAGCTCGCTATCACAGCTGCTCCACCAATTGTCTCAAAATCACTCCGATGGCGATAACAATAAAGTCGATGACGACGATAAATCGCATTTGTTTATGGAAATGTTAGCGGATTTGTCGCAAGATTTGGATAGTTTTTAAGCTTAAAGTTAATATTATGTCATTCTTTGCATTTATCATACAATTGTTAGTTGCTGTGAATAAACTCTATTTTTTGCACGAGTATTTGAACTTATTTTTTATGTTGTGTAGGAAATCGATAAGATAACAGTACCGCTTATCGATACATAAAATTGCCGATTACGTCAACTTGACGAATTTGTCGTTGTGAAATGGAACACGATAAATGTGTGTGTATGTGCGGTCTCTATGTAAAAAGCGTGACAAACATATAGGAAAAAAAAACAGTTATCTTTGGTATGTCGTGGATTAAATACATTCCACATTTGGAAGAACATATTGCTTGGTGATTATATGGCCTAAAAGCTTTAACTTAATACATTCTTATTAAGATATAATATATTGCAAAATTAAGTTGCTGAAATGCTGTTCTAGTTTAGTTCAATTTCCACCACTGTGCATGAGAGATGTGTGTAATATGTTTGTATATATTTATCAAAGCTGTGTTTTGTGTTTCCTCTCTATCTGTCTATCGCTGTCTCTGTCTCTGTCTCTGAGTGTCTGTATGAGTGTGTCATTGTGCTAATTTTGTAAAAATGCGAACGCTGGTTATGCAATCAACGGTTATTCTCTCTCTCTCTCGCTCTCGCTCTCTAAACCTAATTGAAATTAATTGTTGCTCACTCTCTTTTTGTTCATTTTTTTTAGTTGAGCACGGGCGAACTTTGGCAGAGGAGGTATTTGATGAGCAACCAAGCAGCAGTATTAAATTAAATTAAAAAATTACTACCAAAACGAACGAATATTAAACTTAACGAACTTAACGAGTAGAAATCAGAATGGAGAATTTTACGCCAAAAGAGGTGAAGATCCTCGAGACTGTCGAGGATATTCAGGAGCGTCGTGAACAGGTCCTGTCGCGTTACAATGAATTCAAAATCGAAACGAGACAGAAGCGTGAAAAGCTGGAAGATTCGCGTCGCTTTCAATACTTTAAACGCGATGCCGATGAGCTTGAGTCTTGGATACATGAGAAACTCCAGGCAGCCAGCGAGGAAAGCTACCGGGATCCTACCAACCTGCAGGCAAAGATTCAAAAGCATCAAGCCTTCGAGGCGGAGGTTTCCGCACATAGCAATGCCATCGTATCGCTGGATAATACCGGCCAGGAGATGATCAATCAGCAGCACTTTGCATCGGAGACTATTCAACGGCGCCTGGACGAACTACATCAGCTATGGGAGCTGTTGCTCAGCCGTTTGGCTGAAAAGGGCTTAAAACTGCAGCAGGCGTTGGTCCTCGTTCAATTTTTGCGTCAATGCGAGGAGGTGATGTTCTGGATTAAGGACAAAGAGACCTTTGTGACTGCCGATGAATTTGGTCAGGATCTTGAGCACGTGGAGGTGCTTCAGCGTAAATTCGACGAGTTCCAAAAGGATATGGCCTCACAGGAGTATCGTGTTACCGAAGTCAACCAACTGGCTGACAAGCTCATCCAGGATGGCCACCCAGAGAGGGATACCATAACCAAACGTAAGGAGGAACTCAATGAGGCCTGGCAGCGTCTCAAGCAATTGGCCATTGTGCGCCAAGAGAAGCTCTTTGGTGCCCATGAGATTCAGCGTTTCAATCGCGATGCGGATGAGACTGTCGCTTGGATTGCCGAAAAGGATGTGGTGTTGTCCTCTGATGATTATGGTCGCGATTTGGCCAGCGTACAGGCACTGCAGCGTAAACATGAGGGCGTCGAGCGGGATCTGGCTGCTCTGGAGGATAAGGTTTCCACGCTAGGTGCTGAGGCACAACGTCTGTGCTCCATCCATGCAGATCATAGCGATCAGATAAGGGACAAGCAGGCAGAGATCGCCAACTATTGGCAGAGTCTGACGGCTAAGGCACGCGAGCGTAAACAAAAACTGGATGAGTCTTACTATCTACATCGCTTCCTGGCCGATTTCCGTGATCTGGTCTCGTGGATCAATAACATGAAGGCTATCATCTCGGCCGATGAACTAGCCAAGGATGTGGCTGGAGCTGAGGCGCTGCTGGAGCGTCATCAGGAGCACAAAGGCGAGATCGATGCACGTGAAGATAGCTTCAAATTGACCACTGAATCGGGCCGGAAACTCTTGGAGCGTGAGCACTACGCTGCCGCTGAGATTCAAGAAAAGCTAGCTGCTCTGGAGAACGATAAGAGCTCGCTGCTGTCCCTTTGGGAGGATCGCAGAATTCTGTACGAGCAATGTATGGACTTGCAACTCTTCTATCGTGACACCGAACAGGCTGACACCTGGATGGCCAAACAGGAGGCGTTCCTGGCCAATGAGGATTTGGGAGACTCCCTCGACTCTGTGGAGGCTTTGATTAAGAAGCACGAGGATTTCGAGAAGAGCCTGGCTGCCCAAGAGGAGAAGATCAAGGCGCTGGACATCTTTGCCACCAAACTCATTGATGGTCAGCATTATGCTGCCGACGATGTGGCTCAGCGTCGACAAATGCTACTCGCTCGTCGTGCTGCACTGCAGGAGAAGTCTGCGAAGCGTCGCCAGCTGCTTGAGGATTCGAATCGCTATCAGCAGTTCGAGAGGGATTGCGATGAGACAAAGGGATGGATCAGTGAAAAACTTAAGTTTGCCACGGACGATTCTTATCTGGATCCCACAAATCTGAACGGTAAAATGCAGAAGCACCAGAATTTCGAGCATGAGCTAAACGCGAATAAGTCACGCATCGAGGACATCACCAATGTAGGCACCGAGCTGATCGAGAAGAAGCATTATGCAGCGGATCAGATCAATACACGAATGCAAGAGATTGTTGTGCTGTGGGAGACTTTGGTGCAGGCATCCGACAAGAAGGGCACCAAGCTGAACGAAGCCTGTCAGCAGCAGCAATTCAATCGTACCATCGAGGACATTGAACTGTGGCTCAGTGAGATTGAGGGTCAACTGCTCTCCGAGGATCATGGCAAGGATTTAACCTCTGTGCAGAATCTGCAGAAGAAGCATGCTCTGCTTGAAGCTGATGTTATGGCTCATCAGGATCGCATCGAGAACATCAATGTGGCAGCTAATAAGTTTATTGAATCAGGTCACTTTGATTCCGATAACATTCGTAACAAGGAGGGCAATCTTTCGGCTCGCTATGCCGCTCTGGCTGCTCCGATGGGTGAACGTAAGCAACATCTGTTAGATTCGCTGCAGGTTCAGCAACTGTTCCGCGATTTGGAGGATGAAGCCGCCTGGATACGCGAGAAGGAGCCAATTGCAGCATCGACCAATCGCGGACGCGATTTGATTGGCGTTCAGAATCTGATCAAGAAACATCAAGCTGTTCTGGCCGAGATTAACAACCATGAGGCGCGACTTCTCAATGTCATTAGCTCTGGCGAAAATATGCTTAAGGATCAGCCATTTGCCAGCGATGACATACGCCAGCGTCTCGAAGCCTTGCAGGAGCAATGGAACACTCTCAAGGACAAGTCGAACCAACGCAAGCAGGATTTGGATGATTCGCTGCAGGCGCATCAGTACTTTGCTGATGCCAACGAGGCGGAGTCCTGGATGCGTGAAAAGGAACCCATTGCTACGGGCAGCGACTATGGTAAGGACGAGGATTCATCGGAGGCGCTTCTCAAGAAGCACGAGGCACTTGTCTCGGATCTGGAAGCCTTTGGCAATACCATTCAAGCGCTGCAGGAGCAGGCCAAGAATTGCAGGCAACAGGAAACCCCTGTCGTGGACATTACCGGCAAGGAGTGCGTCGTTGCTCTCTATGATTACACGGAGAAGTCGCCCCGTGAGGTGTCCATGAAGAAGGGTGATGTTCTCACACTTCTCAACTCCAACAACAAGGACTGGTGGAAGGTGGAGGTCAATGACCGCCAGGGCTTTGTCCCCGCTGCCTACATCAAGAAGATCGAGGCCGGCCTCAGTGCATCGCAGCAAAACCTCGTGGATAATCATTCAATTGCCAAGCGCCAGAACCAAATAAACTCCCAGTATGATAATCTTCTAGCCCTTGCCCGTGAGCGTCAGAATAAGCTCAATGAGACAGTGAAGGCTTATGTGCTGGTCCGTGAAGCCGCAGACTTGGCTCAATGGATACGCGACAAGGAGAACCATGCCCAGATTGCTGATGTAGTTGGCGAGGATCTTGAGGAAGTGGAGGTGCTGCAAAAGAAGTTCGATGACTTTAATGATGATCTGAAGGCCAACGAAGTGCGTTTGGCTAACATGAATGAGATTGCTGTTCAGTTGACATCACTTGGACAAACGGAGGCAGCTCTGAAAATTCAGACCCAGATGCAGGATCTTAACGAGAAGTGGAACAATCTGCAAACGTTGACCGCTGAGAAGGCTAGCCAGCTGGGCTCGGCCCATGAGGTGCAGCGTTTCCATCGGGACATTGATGAGACCAAGGATTGGATTGCGGAGAAGGCGAATGCCTTGAACAATGATGATCTTGGCAAGGATTTGCGTAGTGTGCAGACGCTGCAGCGCAAACATGAGGGCGTGGAACGTGATCTAGCTGCCCTGCGCGACAAGATTCGCCAACTGGACGAGACGGCAAATCGGTTGATGCAATCGCATCCGGATACCGCCGAGCAAACCTATGCCAAGCAGAAGGAGATCAACGAGATGTGGGATCAGATCATTACCAAGTCGACAGCACGTAAAGAGAAGCTACTCGACTCGTACGATCTGCAGCGTTTCCTTAGCGACTATCGCGATCTGCTCGCCTGGATCAACTCGATGATGAGTCTGGTTACCTCTGACGAACTGGCCAATGATGTAACGGGAGCCGAAGCGCTTATCGAACGTCATCAGGTGGGCATTTGTTGTTATTTGTTTTCAAAATTACCTTATAATTATTTCATCTGTCTTGAGTTGTTTTTTTTTTTTTATGAAAGTTGTAATCCATTTATATATATCGTCATAACATATGCAATCAATTTGAAAGTCTTCAGAAATCTATTATCCGTGTATTGGATCCGTTGAAATTAATCTTATAATCGATAT